GCCGACTCAGGTAACCCCCGGACGCCCCGCGCGCGCGCGCCCGCGCCCGCCGCCCCCTGCTTCTCCGCAGGCACAGCCCAGATGCAGGCGCCGGGCTCCACCTCGCCGCTAAGCGCTTGCAGCGCGGGCAGAGCGTTGACACTCTGGGCCCCATTCAGCAGCCGGAGGGGGATAGACGCGCCGAGGTTCCCGATGACCTGGAATAGTGCCGTCCCCTCCCCACTGCTGCGTTCACCCCCCAAAATGCTGACTTGGTTATAGTACACGCAAAGGTTAATTCATGCAGCAGACCTCGGAGGTCGTTCAAAGTCAGACTTGACTTTCGCTCTCTCTGTCAAAGGCCTGGAAGCCGATTCGTGCCATGTTCCAGCTACAGCTAGTGGTGGCTCCAAAGAACCCACCGTTCAATATGTTTGAAATGTGTCAACGAGCCTTTCCAAGGGTTACAGGCGATTTCCTTTCTCACGGGTTCACATTTTCTTAGAGCTGAAAATTACAACTTCATTTCGTTAAAACCCCTAACTCTACAAATGGATAATTGAGACCCAGAGCGAAAAGTGGCTTGTTGGAGACTACACGGCTAACCAGCGACTACATTAGACTTTTAAGTTCAGTAATTTTTGGCCCTGCGTGAACTGGTTTTAGGAATCTCTGATTAGATTGTCGGAGTTAGAGCATGTCTGCTGCTTGAGGGAAGGGCTATATGTTGCTGCTCTTGAATGGCAAAGTGATTCTAGACAAGATTTTGTCAATGTTATTGTTGCTTAGAATAATGGAAGTTTTCGCTATGAAATTGAAGGTTTCGTTGTTCCTCCTGCTTTCCGCATTTTCCGGCACTCCAAATAATTCTCCTTGCCAGGAAACGAGGGAGTTTGAAGTCCCGTGCATTTTATTTTAGTCATTCACTTAACAATTTTTTTTTTCCTGTATAGAGTTATTTTGCCCTTTTATCAGTTATTAAGACTTCTAGGGAATTTGTTTATTTATTTTTTATTCTTTGAGTTTCTGTTTGTTGCTCTTTTGTCCTAGGAGGTCAAGGGTAGAAATGTAGCATAGTCTGTAACTTGGGTTTTGGAGTTAAATAGTCTGGGTTGTAGTATATTTCTGCACTGTCTAGGTATGGAGATTTGAGGGTAGGTTACTTAATTTCGTATCCCAGTTTTCTTAAATATAAAATGAGGATAAGGAGGATATATCTGAAGGATTGTCACGAGGCTTTAATTAGTGGATACAATCTCTGGCACATATTAATGTTCAATAAAAGTTAGCTTCTTTATTATTCTTAGTATATATATTTTCAGCTATGTGAGAGTTATTCTGTTTCCTTGGCTTTAGAAGAAATGAAACCAGTCCTTTTTATGTTGAGAACTATCAGAACTATCTGAGTAGGCAGATGGAAGAGAGTTAATTCATGTGAACTTTTTAAAAAAGAAAAATTGTTCTTTGTACATGAATAATATTGATTATAAAAACATTAGAAATCCACTTAAATTTTGTATTATATAGATATTGGTAATTAGTTGTACATGTCCTCAAAATTTGTTTTATATCCAGCAAATCAAAGTATAGGCTTTGCTTCAAATGTGAGTCATGGACATGCTACAGACAACATATTAGCTTCTTAGAGCCAGTCATTGACCCCGGCAGGATCCACAAGGAGTAAATTAAGTTAACTCTACTTGGCCTGCTACTGCAAAGATTCATATGATTGATGACATGAAGACTGGATAAATGCAGCTGGGAACTCACCAGAAATCTTGTGAACCAGGTGTGAACCAGAAACAGGAGGTAAACTCTGGCTACCCTGGGATATGATGTTGGCCATCAAGGTTGGAGTGTCGCATTTTGAATCAGAAGTCATACGTAAACCAGTGTAAAACCACAAATAGCAGTATGCCGCAATGAATTGCACTTTAGGCTGGAAAGGAGCTCTCAGCTGCACTCACACGTGTGACCACTAACTCGTCTCCTCTCTGCATATAATTGACCCTGCTTCCTAGTATGTAGTTTGGAAAAAGAGCAACAAGGTACATAACCAGTAGGTGTAAGTTATATACTATTCTTATTTTTCCTGGTCTGTATGTGTCTTTATCTTATTTATCTTTATATCCTTTCGATGCCTGTCAACACTTTGCCTGTAGCAAGCATTCAGTGGCTTATTATGTTAAAGTTCATATGTAGAAGGAGCTGGAGAGGCTAGAACTGCCTTGCCGACTTTCAAGATAGGAGCTTCATAAAGCCTGTGAGCAGAAGGAAGAGGGAGTCATTTATGTTCAGAAGAGAGAATCCCCAATGCAATAAATATCCATCTCTATGCATTTTTGTGATTTGAAGATTTTGTCTTTGGGCTACAATAGAATCGATGACTTTGGGGAGGGGACATACAGAACTGTGGCTTCAACTGAGAAATAAGATATAAAGGGAAAACTGCTATGGTCCAGGTCTTAGCACTACATTTACTAGGTATTAACTTGGGAAAATTATTAACTACTGTGAACCTGCAGCTATTTTGACCCTGAATACTTTGAGATCCTGTTGTGTTATTAAAGAATTTGGCAGTAAAATCCCAGAACAATTAAAACCTAATAAATCACTGGAAAGACCTGTATTAGCACACAGACTAACATGGAAATTGATGATAGGTTTGGTTTTCTCTTTGGTTTAAGTTTTGTATTTTAAAAAAAAAAAATGGTGACACTTAACCAGGAGTGACTCCTTTCCCCCAGGGAGCGTTAGGCAATCTCTGAAGACATTTTTGGTTGTCATGATAAGGAGAAAGGGGATGTTACTAGTATCTAGTGGGTAGAGGCCAGGGGTGCCATTTAACATTTCACAGTGCACAGGACAGCCCCACCACAAAGAATCATCCCACCCAAAAAATCAGCAATGCTGTGGTTGAGAATCCCTGAACTAAAGCAACTTCTTCATCAAAGCTACACGTAAATGACTTGTGAGTTCATTTCATAGAGCGGCATGTCCTAAAGCGTGTATATTCATAAACATAACCTATACCTTACAACTCGGAAGGGAGTAAGAGCTTTAAAAGCATGTTTTAGGTGGGCTGCCACAGATGTGCCTGAGATACATAGCAGAGAAAAGCGTTTTTGAGGTTGGTAAAGATCTTGACAATATAATAGCTTTGAAACATCTGAGGAAAATATCTAGATTTCTCATGGGTTAGCTAAGATTTAAATAAAAATCTCAGTCATATAAAAAATTTAAAGAATTATTAGAAACTAACAATATGAAATAAAAATCTGACAGTGTTATATGTTACAAAATTTGTTGTTGGGAAACACTGACGAAAGAATAAAATCTTTTTGATATTCAACCCATGCTGACGGCCACAAAGGAAAACAGTTGTAGATGATATGATTGGTAAAATTGTATATGGACAAAAAAGTTTTGATAAATCTTCACTATCATGCTTCGGATAAAAGAAAAATAAAATGTACTCTGTAAAAATTGATAAAGGAATTCTTTGGCTTAATTTTTTTCTGAAAGCTAATCGATGAAAATTTACGAATGTTAATATTATTCTAATTAAAAAGTTTGTTTTTGGAATATCGTCAGGGACAAAACATCCTGTATTCCTCTTTGAGCATATATTTTCTTGCTCTGCTTGTCTTCACCTTCCAAAAATTGTGTTAGTTAGCAGTCATTTGGTTGTAAGTGACAGAAACGTGCACAGAAAAACACTGATTGGTTCGCGGAGGTGGGAGGTGCAGTGGCTTCAGGCCAGGGCAGGGCAGGATGGTGAGTGTCTTTTCGGCTTGGGCAATCTCTGCCTCTCCCCTGGTTTCTTCACTTTCCACTCTCCACCTGTCGGACCTGCTTTCTGTTCTAGTGCTTTCGGTGTGTGGCAGGCTTTTTTCAAGCAGCAGCAGTGACAGCCTCATGGACACTCCAGACTTTCGTTGCCCATACAATTCAGTGTCAGGAGAAGAGAACATGTTTACCCATGAGCTCTGACAAAAATCCTGGAGAGAAGTCTATAGGCCACGATCATGTGGCCGTCTCTAGAACGTTGTGGCTGGAGGGTGGAAAGTTCTGGTGAGGCTCGGACAGGTTACTTACTGCCGGGGGTTCAGGTGCAAAGTAAAGGTTGGGACCAGTGTTATAAACTCTCTTCAAACTAAGCGGGATGGATCTACCCTAAAGGGAAGGATTCTATTGACAAAAGAAAGGCGAAGGAATATTGGGCACATAAAACAAAACAGCTGTCCACTAAAATGACCTAACCAAGATGGACTTTGCACAAGATGGTTACGTAAAAGATAATGTTATTTATTATCTTGTACATAGAAATTATTTTTCTATAAACCTTTAGAAAATCCCCTTGAATTAAGATCATTAAAAGTGATAAAATCGTGCCTTGTTACTTTAGATGGGGCCTTAAATTTAATTTAAATTTCATTTGGAAGGTTTTATCTTTTGGATTCTTTTCAGGGTTTTTCATTTTCAAGTACATACTCTCCATGCCTGAATAAGATACATAACAATTTGTTGGTAGTGGTATTTCTGTGACAGTTTGTATACTGTACAGGATTTAGGTTAATCTGAGTTATATGCGGTTACTTTAAAAAGTTATTTGTAATGAATGCAGTTAAATGTTAAGCAGCATATTCTATAACAATTCATACTTTTTAAATTAACAATTTGTACTTTTTAATGCTAGTTATTCTAACACTTTCCATTGAGCATCCAATATTATTAAGTATAATCTTTTTTGAAAATGATTGCATTTAACCAAATTAGTTTATTTAAAGAAAGACATACTTTAGTTTCTTCTGCTTAGGTTATATTATTTGTTATGTTATAAGTATCTTCATTCCCCTTTAGATTAATACTTACTTAAATGAAGTAATAGTTCATTTAAACAAATTCTTTACAAATAGCTTGACTTCTGAGCATATTAAAAGATGGGCTGTGCTCAAAGATTGCAGAAAATCATGAACCAGAGCTTAAAAAATGATTAAGAAAACAAACTTTATTTTAAAACTATAATAATTTATTCATTTACCAAACGTTTATTGAATATCTGCTTGGTTTGAGGTATTGTTTTTGGCACAAAGGTGATTAAAATGCGTGCCCTGACCACAAAATACTTTGGTCTTATAGACTGAGCAGTGATCTTCAAACATTTTTCTCACTTATCTCCTAAGTGGAGTTTGCAAATATGTATTTTCTAGGTTGCAAATAAGCATTTTCAGGTCGATATCTAGAAATTTTCTTGATAAGAATAAATAGTTGTAGAGGATGATGTTTCCAGTGTGTTGTAAATATTGACATTTAAAACAAGAATGGTTACACTTCCCTTTAAAGTATATCTTTTGAATGGAACCATAATATCCTAGTAATTTATTAGCTAGGATCTCTATTTTGAAAATAGATAAAAAGCTCTTCTTTAACTGTCAGAAAATTTACAGTATTTCCTTATCTCCTTGAATTCGTATTTCAATTATACTTACTCCTTATAATTTTATCTCAATACGTTTTAATTCTTGAAAGTTTTGTTTTTATTATATTTTTCTGCAACAAAAAAATGTCTAAATATTAAAATGTGTCTCTCATTACAGTTATGAGAGCACATTATTGAAAAGAACACCAATATGTTCTGAATTCACAAAGACTAAAGTTTGGTGGAAACATACCCGTTAATGACGTGAGTGGCACCTTCCCCCAACTGAATATTAATTGGCATAATTAATATTTCCTAATTGAAAATTATTGTGAAAATGTAAAGAATTTTTATCTAGAAACATCACTCAATTCTTGGCACACTTTCTAATTTATAAGACTCTAATGTTAATTTATTATCAAAAATGTTACTTTTAATCATCTATCAGCTGATTAGTCTTTATCAACTTTATTAGTCTTTTTCAATTTTGTGGGTAACAAAGAATCAGAAGCCACTTGACTTGAAAATAGTCACTGAATCACTCCTGCCTCACTATCTGGGAGGTTCACTAAAAAGACTTTAGCAAAATTAATCAGATAGCTATGGTTACTTTCTCACTTAGAGGCTGCTTGTTTAATGTACTCAAAAAATGTTGGTAAAATAAAAACATTCATTCAGCACACCTTTGCCAATACCATATTTTTTCAAACAAATGCTTTTACCTTATCACAGTTTAAATACTTTTTTGTTAAATTCTTAAAGTTTTCATAATTCATGAAGATAGTCTGTACTGTCAATACAGTCAGCCAAATTAGACTTTCTAACAGAGTATTTTTATCTTTTAGTTCAAATAAATGTATTAATATATATATTAAGGAATGTTATAAAAACCACGGAAAAATAAATTATGGAACACATTTTGTAGGTCAAATTACTAAATGCAATAAAGCCAAGAATTAAGGAATCTAGTACTTACATATTTAAATTACCTATTTCATAATATATGATAACATAGTTTTGTTCTTTAATATAATTTATAATGAAGTAATGTCATAGCTATTAAAATAAGTTATTTATGTAATGAAAACTATGGTAGAAAGCATGATATTTTATAAAATTTAGTGTAATGAACTATGTATGGGCTTTAGAGAAAAATTAAAAGCCATGTGTAAAGATCAAATATTAATTCAACAGTTTCTTTAGACCTCATGATCACAGTTTTGACATTGTACTTAGTGAAACAGAAAGCTAATTAGTTCAGTAGCTAGTATGTAACCTTTTCATAATAAGAGTTAGAAAGTAGCGTTTTATAAGGAGGAACAATGATAATTAAAATGAATATTTCATGATATTTGAGAATAAGTTGTTAACTATCATATTGTTAACATATATCTAATCTGAAAGACACATTTAAGTTTTCCCTGTGGTTTTCATCCAAGTGTGAAAACTTGGTACCACTGGAAACTGTTTTAGTCACATTGAAATGGAATCAGCATCAATAATTGTTTCAGATGTTTCCAGGTACCTTTTTTTTTTTTCAGTAAATAGCATGTTCAGTTTTGAGAAAAACTGAAGAAACAGCTTACCTCTATGTGCAAAGTCAGTTTTCAAAGCTTTCCTTACTTCATGCTCTGGGTTCTCCCGTCTTGGGTCGTTTGGCAGCAGAGGCCTCCGAGGCATTGCGGCTCCGTTCCGGACCACTACGGTAAAGTGGGTATTGCAATGAAGCGAGTCATCACCTTTTTGCTGGTGGAGTGTCTGGCCTTCCAGTTGTAAAATAAGGCAACATCTATGAAGCACGATAAAGTGAAGCGCAGTACAACGAGATACACCTGTGCTCGCTCTCACCCTTCCACGACTGTCTGACACAGGCCAGCACGAGCCAAAACGTTCTCTCCGGTCGGTTCTAAAGTTGCTCTTCACTTTTAGTAGAAATACATCAGACGGGGAAAGACAATCCCTAGGCAGGTTTGTGTTGGTTTTGATAACTTTTAAAGACGGCTTCTCAACCGTAGTTTAGTGGGCCCCGCAGGTCCCCTCCGCAGTGCACGTCACACCGTGGTGGAGTGAGCAGGCGGAGGGCCCAGGCCCAGGCGTCAGGTCAGTGTCAGAGAGGGATGCATGGAGGTGAGCATCTGCACACCGATCCCTCAGGGCTGCTGTGCTCTGTGCCTTTGGAGACTGTGTGTTCTGCTGTGAAGCCTGTGACTGTAGAGGAAACAATCATTGTGATGCAGCGTGAGAAATGCTGCTTTGGAAGCGTGAACCAGATCTATGCCAGTGGGAAGATGGGGTTGGAGTGATTGATCCCTGAGCGATGTGGACATTGTGCAAGAGGGAAAAGTTCAGGAAGGTCCAGTGGAGAGATGAAGATATGTGAGGAGCAGCATGAAGGGAAAGTGGTGTGAGCGATGTGGGGGTTCTAGACTGAGACCCCAACAGCTGCTGAGATGAGAATCCAGAGCTAGAGCCGGTCCGAGATGGCTGGACAATACAGCGCCGGGGACACAGAGTCCTGGTTTTCTCACGTTGAAGTTGAGGTGTCTCCGGACTCTAAATAAAGGGTCCAGTACGCTGCTGACAGGTACGGAACTCAGGAGGGAAATCTGAGCCAGAGCAGACATTGAGCACTTTAGTTATGCAAAGGTCACATTTGGGCCTTTGGTATGGGTTAGATGACTCAGGAAGTTGTAGCACGGTAGCAGAGGATGGCCAAGGACATCGACTTTGGAGGTAGGGAGACAATGCCTACCCCATGTGAACGTCATTTTTCTCTTTGCCTACAGCAGACGTGGCTAATTGATCACTGCCCTATTTTGCAATGAGTCCAGTTTCCGTTGTGATTTCTTTGGATTTTTTTTTTTTTCAGAAGCCTGTTGCTTGATTTCCAAATATTTAGAGACTTTCCAGCTATTTCCAGACCTTTCTGTTATTGACTCCATTTTGATCAGAAAACATACTTTGTATGATTTCAGTCCTTCGAAATTTATTAAGATTCGCTTTATGGTCTTGCCTGTGATCTATTTTGGTGAATGTTCCATGCACAATTAAAAAGAATATGTATTCTGCTGTTGTTGGGTGTAGTGTTCTAAAAAGGCCCATTAGGTCGAGTGGCTAACAGGTTTTCATATCTTCTCTATCCTTAACTTCTACTCTTGATCTTAGCAAAAAAGTCGAGAAGTTACTATCCTTGCTTCTGTACAACCCTTCTATTTTTTTCCCTTGCTCTTCCATCAGTTACTAAGAGGGATATTAAAATATCCAGGTACGATATTAGATGTGTCTGTTTCTCCTTTTACTTCTGTCAATTTCTGGTTCATGTTTATTCCTCAGCTTCCTCCTGGCCAGGTCACCACCATGGGTTTGCCGTGTTCCTCCATGAAGGGTCATAGCTCCTTTTAGGATGCTTTCTGAATATGCCAGGGGCAGTTTCTCAGTGTGTTCACCCTGGGCTGTGACTAGTTCCTGAGCCTAGGTCTCCTCAGGGACCCATGTTCAGTGAGTTATTTCAGGTAACTACTGTGACAGAAACCCAATGACCTTTCACCAGGCTACTTTGAGATGGGGTTTCCGAGAGTCAAGATGAAATGAAATGCCATAGGTGACGTATGACAGTATTTGCCGAATAGCCAGTCATCAGTAAGTATTAGCTGATTAGACTAGTTTAGAGGACAGTTTTTTTTCATTTGTACAATTGAACTCTAAATATATGTATCTTCTATATCAGAAAGTATACCTGTGTTTTACAGTGTTTCTACTTTTCTCTCAATTTACCTCATACCTGTAATACATTTATTCATCTATAAAAACTTTTTTCCCCACAGATTTACGAATTTCTTCATAACGTCTGTCTCACGGGGTTGTTTTGAGAATGTGTAAAGTGCTTAGAAGACAGTACTCATTCAACATGAACAGAGAGGACAGATGGCAGAGCCATGTAGGAGGCAGAGAGAATCTGAAGGGTAAACAAAAAACTATGTAACGTGCCCAATAACTGGAGCACGGAATGGGGGAAGGAGAGGGGCAGGAGATGAGACTGAGACCAGATCATGAAAAGTAAGGATTGACCTTAGTTCCGAAGGTATTAAGTCATTTAAGGAATTGGAGAAAAGAAGTGACATTATTTTGAGCAGAGAAATGACTGTGAGTCTTTAGGGAAATGGAAATCCAAACATGTATTGGCTGTTGTGTTATTACTGTGACTTAAGGCCTTAGTCTCCAGGATACCCCTCTAGCTCACAACTGGTAGCGTCGAAGGATGTGTCACAGCTCTTTTTACTGAGTGTCTTTGAGCCCTTTCCAAACAAAGTCCTGGGTGCAGACGCCATCAATGTGTCTACTTCGCTGTTTGGGACAGCAAAGCAGAGATTGCTCGGTTTAGCCCTGCACTGTAGAAGATCAGCCAGAAATTCATGTCGCTTAAAAAAAATTAGAACCCTGTAGATGTTATTGAGAACTTGTGCTCAGTTTTGCTCATTTCATGTAGGGATTCTTGGCATGTATGCCACTGGGTCTTTGTCCTTTTTATGTACCTGGAAATATGGAATTGTGGGATTCTGTTGCTAGAGAGCTTGACATTGATGTAGAAAAATAGGAGCCTGTAGAGATGTAAACAGGTCGCAGATCCGTGTTAACAGTACTCCCTCCCCGCATGGATGCTTTGGATGATCCTAAACAAAACGCCCCTTCTGTATTGTTGACTCTCTTGGTATCACTATTTGTGAGAACATAAAGCTGGTTAATATATGTTATTGTACTTCACCTTTTTTGATAATGTAGCACTTAAAATGTCATTTCACGGGTGCCGCACTTATCCTTTCCATAGAAGTTTTGGAGCGTGGTGCCGGGCACAGACTGATGTGTGGCACATTCCTGTAATATCCCTCTCTCTAGGTCAGGATCCTTGTTGCACGAGGCGCAGTGTGTGGTTTTCTCACGTGTAATGGTTGTTTCCTTGTTCCATTTCTAGGTGATACCGTTAATATTGGAGACGTCTCCTACAAGTTGAAAACTCCTAAGAGCCCGGAACTTGTGCCACAGAACTACAGTAAGAAAGCCATTTATTTACAAATGGATAACTCTTAACTTTCCACTATGTGAATTTTTAAACATATGTAAAACGGGAGAGAATAGTATTAACCCAGTGTATATACCACATTTTCAGCACATGCCGCGATTGATTAGTTTTGCCTGTCCTTCAGCTTTATGTAAATAGAATCACGTAGTATGGTTTTTTCATGTGTATAATGGCCTTCTTTCCATCAGGACAGTGATCTTGAGGCTCATCTATGTTGCTACACCTATCTGTTCATCTTTTATTGCTGAGTATTATTCTTCTGTATAAATAAACATTCTGTTTAGCCATTCTCCTGTCGACATTGGGATAGTTTCCATTTGGGGATTGTTGTACGGTGCTGTGAGCATTCCTGTACAGTTATGCGGTCATAAGTTTTCAGTTTTCAGTGAGTAAGCAGGAGCCGAATTGCTGTGCGTACGGGGACGCCTGCTTAACTTTGGAAGACACCGCCAGGTGGTTCTCCAAAGCAGGGGTGCTGTTTCACCCTTGACCAGCAGTGATGCTGTGCATCCTTGCCACCACTGGTATTTCTAGTCTTTTTGACTTTGCTTATTCTGCTAGGTGTGAAAGGGCAACTCATCGTGGATTTTGTTTTGTAACAGCTTTATTGAGGTATAATCCATATGCCATAAAATTCACTTTTTTGAAGTGTACAGCTCAGCGGTTTTTAGTATATTCACGAAGTGTGTAACCCTGCCAATATCTAACTTTAGAGCACTTTCATGTCCCCAGAAGGAAACCTCACGTCATTAACAGTTGCTCGGTGTTTCCTTCCCTTTCTACCCTCTTCTTGCCCCACCGCGTGCCTCTGGCAGTCACTAATATACTTGGTTTTTATGGATTTGCCTATTCTAAACATTTCATATAAATGCGATCATACATACATGGACTTTGTGTCTGCCTTATCTCATAGTGCTATCATAATGTTATCATAACTTATAATGTCTTCAAGACTCATCCATGTCGTAGCACGTATCAGTAATTCATTTCTTTTTGTGGCTAAATAATTTTCTATTGTGTGGATATAGCACATTTTGTTTATCTACTCATCATTTGTTGGACCTTTGGATTGCTTCTACCTTTGGATTATCATGACTGATACTGCTGTAAACATTCCTATACAAGTTTTTGTGTGGGCAGATATTTTTAGTTTTTGGGGTGTGTACCCTAGGAGGGGAATTGCTAGGTCACATGGTAACTCTACGTTTAACATTTTGAAAAATTACCAAACTGTTTTCCAAGGAAGCTGCACCAATAATGTATGAGGGTTCCAGTTTCTCCACATCTTCGTCAACACTTGTTACCGTCTGTCTGTTTTATTATAGGCATCTTCATGGGAGTAAAGTGGTGTCTCGTTGTTGTTTCCATTGCCATTTCCCTAAGGACTCACAGTCATTTCTCTGCTCAAAATAATGTCACTTCTTTTCTCCAATTCCTTAAATGACTTAATACCTTCGGAACTAAGGTCAATCCTTACTTTTCATGATCTGGTCTCAGTCTCATCTCCTGCCCCTCTCCTTCCCCCATTCCGTGCTCCAGTTATTGGGCACGTTACAGAATAGTTTTTTGTTTACCCTTCAGATTCTCTCTGCCTCCTACATGGCTCTGCCATCTGTCCTCTCTGCTCTGTCCCACTTTTACTATATATTTTTTGAGTTGTTTTCTTCGTGATCACGATAAGGATGACAGTGAACAATTTAACTTAAGATAAACTTGTTCAGATTAATGCTAACTTATTTTTAACGGTATACAAAAGCTTCGCTCTGATAGAGCTCTGTTCCCTTCCACTTCCTTTTGCTTTGTGCTATTGTCATACTAATTATATCTTTATATATTGAAAGTTTATCTATACAACTTTATAATTATCATTTTATGAAGTTGTCTTTTAAATCAGATAGAAGAGTTACAACAAGAATGTGTTTATACTGTTGTCCTATTTGCATGTAGTCATCTTTAGCGGTATTCTTTCTTCGTGTGGATATGAGCTGCTGTCTTGTTTGCCTTCATTTCAGCGTGAAGGAAGGACTCCCTTTAGTATTTCTTGTAGGGCAGGTCTGCTAGTGATGGCTTCCCTTAGTGTCTTTTTATCTGGAAATGTCTTAATCTCGCCTTTGCTGTTTCAGAGCTGATTTTACTGCCAATGGAGTTCTTGCTTGGCAGCTTTCATTTCCTTCTAGCACTTTTAAGTTTTTGGTCATCCTCACGTTGGCTCCAACTGGTTTGGCTGCGTCAGGCAGCTGTCATGTTAAGCAGGTGTTGCTGATTTTTCTTTGACAAAGGCCCTAGGATAGTACTGTTTGCACACGGGGAGTTCTGAGTGGACCAAATAAAGACACATCCTAAGAATGGAGCTTTTCAGGGAGCTGCTGGACAGGTCAGCAGGGAGGTTCTCTGGGGACGGGGCTTCTGGGGAGCTCCATCCCTGCTCTGTCCCCCTCAGTGGTTGCCAGACTGTTGGTTTTCTCCATCATTGTGAGCAGTTGGTTTTCAGGGTGTACCACAGAGATGGAGAGAGAGATGGGAGCAGGGCAAGTTCAAACACCACAAAGCTCACTGTTTTTACTGAGGTTCATCATGTTTCGTGGATGAAAACTTGTCAGATTGTTGAAAGTCTTTTAGCAGAGTTCTGAAAGTTTTGATTTTTGGCAAATTTTGCCTGCGTCCTCATTTCTTTATGGAAGAGTAGATTTCAGAGGTCCCGGGGTTTATTGTGTTTCGTTAGATTCCATTTACAGCTACACAGCTTTGAGTGTTTTGAGGAAAGGATCAGGATTTTCCCTTCTGCAGGGTTCAGGATCTGAATTCTGGTGAGATTTTAGAGTTCTCTTTATGCTTTATGGCGCAATCTCCAGCGCGACAAAACCATGGCCAGTCTCTGCGTTATGGCTGCAGGTCTTGGATTACTGAGGAGTTCTCTCTGCCATTCAGTCCTGTATTCTGCTTGCTCCAACTAAGTAAGATCTGGTCCTGTTGCCATGCCACCAGCCTCAACAGGCCATGTCAGTGAAGGTCAAGAGTGTCTCAAAGGTTTGTCTCAGCCCTCCTGCCCCAGCACCGTCCTTGAGAACTGCCACCTTGCACCAGATACAGACCTGCTCGGAGGGATTTCTGTCGCCTTTTCTGTCCCACCGCCCGCCTTCTGTGGCTTGTTACCTTGCGCTAAGGATAAAGGTGAGCAGTCTGCAAGAAGGATGCCTCTGTTCTGCGGCCGGCTTCAGTGTGTGCTTCTGTACACTTAGTGAAGGCCAGTGGAAAAGAGTTAGTGGGCAGGAGAAGATTTCTCCGTGGCTGGGACTTCTCAGTAGATTAATTTATCATGCCAGTCTACATGTGGCCATTGTGAGTTTGTTAAAAGTTTACCTTGTTTATCCTGATACATCCATGACACAGTCTTCCTGCCTCTGCCATTCCATCAGGGATGAAAACCAGCTCTAGGTCTCTCATCCCCTTGAAAGGGCTTATTACTTTTTAGAATTTAATTCATTGAGGTTTCTCTGTACCCTTAGCTGTATGATTGGTTTTTAAGAAACTGATCTTTGTAGATTAACTGGTTGTTAGGTTGGAAGTAAAATTCTCTTCTAGCTAAGTAGAAGTGGGAGTTATTTTTAATGATTTACCGGATATGCCTAATTATAACATTGTAATAGACAAGTTTTCTTTTCTGGAGTGAGACTAGTGACGTAATTCTTTTATTTTACTTATCTAGAGAAAAATTAGCAAAATATATCTATTAAATCATACATAGCATAGGTACATAATAATTGAAAAAATCACTCATTTTTCTGATTTCTGGGTCTTTTCCTATTATGAATGTAGCTAACTTTTTACAAATAAACTCTGGAAGTAAGGAATAATATCCACTCTCAGTAGACAATAGGAAAACTTTCATATAGTCTGAGTTCTGTAGGGTAACAATTGCTTGGTGGGGAAATTATGTTTAAAATTTTGTCTCTACTACTTTCCAGATGTGTGAATTTCACTTTCTTTCTTTCTTTTTTAGATGTGTTAATTTCTGTAGTCATTTAACTGCCCCGAGTCTCCTTGACTGTATGGGGATGATCATTTTAACCTCATGGATATATTATAAGGATTAAATCAAATAGCGTATATGGAATACATAGGATAGCGGTCGGCACACGGTGCTCAATAATTGTGAGTCCCCAAAACAACCATTTTGCCAGTCTCCTGATCCTTGTTCCTCCTTTTCATTTTCCATTATTCCATGCCTGTGACACTGTCGAGTGTGGGGATTTCTCAGGGCTGCTCTGGTTCTGCTTAGGCGGTGTGCTAGAAACATCTCTTCACATAGTCTTGCTCTTAAGGATGAATCTGGAATACAGTTCTTCTAGATTGGATTCTGGATTTGCCCTCGGGTTGTTTGCAGGGTCAGGAATGGTGGTGGACTCTTCGAACGAGCTTCAGTTTCCTTTCAGAGGCCTTTTCCATCTCAGCTGGACGTGGAGCGCTCACTGCTGACAGCTCGCAGCAGGGAAGTGCTGAACGTCCCTTCTTTCAGCAGCTAAGATCCATAGCCTCCTATCTGGAGTCCGCTGAAATGTTTTGCCACAAATGCTTAATCACTTGGGGGATCTTCTGATTAAGTGAGAGGAATAACAAGACTATACTTAACTAGCTTTAAGAATCCAAGGGATTTTAGTAGTAATATTAACTTTTAAACTTAAAAACATAGGCCTTGAGTGAATGTGTTTTTACATTTTGCAAATGACCAAGGGGCAATACAGTGGTTGGCCCAGATCAAGCCCCAAAGTGTAAAAGGTATCTGTTTATAAATATAAGATAATTCCTATAAATTGTCACCAGAAATCCTCAGAAAAACGAAGAAAAACCCTCAACATTTTCTGGTTTAGATACTTTCAGTTTTTATCACTGTTTTTATATGTGTCTTATATAATCAAAATTTTTCATTTCTTTAGTGTTTGGATATTAGTAGCTTAGCATTTATATGAAGA